TTTGAACAAGCATCACCAAGGTCATCTTTGCAATAAAAGATAAAAATACAAATTTATTTGTCCTTACAGCTCTTTTAGCAGCCATTTCATCTTCAAGTTTTTTTCTCAGTTCTTCTTGTCTTTTATCTTCCATCTCTTTTTTCTTGCGTTCAGCTTCTTGTTTCTTGGCGTTCTGTGCTTCCAGTAATGCTTCATTTTGCTTTTTCACCTATTATCACAAAACATTACTTTGTGTATTGGCAGAGTATTTAGTTGGGTTTTTCACCTATTATCAGAAAGCATTACTTTGTTTATTGTCAGTGTATTTAGTTGGGTTTTTCACCTAGTATTATCAGAAAGCATTACTTTGTTTATTGTCAGTGTATTTGTTTTTTTTTTTGTATTAAAATGTATACCTTTGGAAAAACAAAAATGTATCACAGACAGATGGAGATCAAACAAACCAAAACTGGCAATTTAAAAGAGATTTGCTTCCCATCTGTGGAATGCTTTTGAATGTATTACTAACAAATATTCTATATTAAATACATTAATAAAATATAAAAACTGTGAAACTGTGGTAGTGCAATACCTCCTCCTCTTTCTTCCTGATCTTTTCCTGCTCTTCAAGGTATTCCTTTTGCATTCTGTCACGCTGCTCCTGTAGTCTTCTCTCCTAAACAATACAACAGACATCAGAGACCTACTAGCTGTATGTCAATGAAATGAAATAGCTAAACAATACAACAGACATCAGAGACCTACTAGCTGTATGTCAAATGAAATGAAATAGCTAATTTAGAGATAATTATACAACATAAATATCAAATAAATAGTACACTCACCTCTTTTTCCTCTTCAGCTTTAATTTTATCTTGTTCTTCTTTCTTTTTTCTTTCTTTTTCTTCCACCTATAAAAACATTAACAATGGATGGTGCCGTGGTGTACTGTTTGCTCTCTCTCTTTGTGGTGTGTGCTTGAGTCTATGATTATTGAGATGATAATTTTCACAGGCACTACAAGTCGTAAAATCAAAATGGCCAAATTTCAAAGACATTAATTTAAGTGTTTTTGTTAAATAATGGCTTTAAATATATGGACATTTTTGCATAAATTTTTCTTGTGGGTCTTTAATTTCACAATGTTTTAAGAAATTGAAATTTGAAAATTGCAAAATTAAAGACTCACCAAAAATAGTAATGATAAGGTACTTCAGTCATTGATTTTTCACCTATTAGTATGATACCATATACAAGAATGTCTTACCTGCAGTCTCAGGTATTGTTGGTACTCCTGCTTGGCTTTTTCTTTTATATCATCCTACAAAGCAAATATTACATTATAATATGTTACCTTAGTTGGATGACAATAAACTAGCAAATGAAGAATGATTCTTGCAAGTTACATTACTAGCTTGATCAACAAAAGACCCAACACACTAAATACACAATCAGCAATCAAGACCTGCAAAACTAACAAAGTAGAAGCCACTCACATTTGGTTGTCTTTCTTTCAGTGGGTCTGACCTGCCATAGGGAGAGGCATTTGAYGCAGCAGCATTACCTACATAACATGAGATGACGACATATGAATTATTACTGATCACCAGATTCATAAGAAACATAAAATTTATAAAATTGTTAAATTCTTGTTAAAATTTGTAAAAATTGTTTTTAGTTAAGATGCTGTAGGGTTGTGAGTTTTTTACAATTGTAAGGTTGTTGAAAGATTTTGAATGTTGGTTTATATTTGGTTGTTGGTTGGCTATGGGTAGGTTTGTTGCTGCTTGTTGGTTGGTTACATTATTGATTTTTTGCTGTTATTAGTGTGCAGGTGTAGGTTGGAGGTCATTGATAGGATGATAGCTGTTGGTAGGTTACATTAGGCTGATTGTTTTGTTGTAGTGAGCAGGTGTAGGTCGGAGGTCATTGATAGGATGATAGCTGTTGTTAGGTTACATTAGGCTGATTGTTTTGTTGTAGTGTGCAGATGTAGGTTGGAGGTCATTGATAAGATGATAGCTGTTGGTAGGTTGTTGTTTGTAGTAACTATACCTGATTGTTGGTAACTTGCTGGTTGTTGATAGGCTTGTGGTGGTTGRTACGTTGGTGGTTGTGGTGATTGGTAGGTAGACCGTGGTGAAAGCTGGCTGCCATCTAATACAGGACCTGGGTTAAATTGTAGGTTAGCAGACTTTCTGCCATCAACATTGTCTTTACTCACACCACGAAGATCAGCTGTAAAAAAATAAAACTTGATATAAGGTCAAATCTACATCAGTGCCGTGAATGRCATTTATTTAATCAACATACCTATTACTTGACCTGTTGACACATCTCTYAATGGTGCACCTCCCCCACCCTTCCCCCATGGGTTATACTTTTCCACCTCATCTTCTATCTTTTTGTTGTATCTGTTTATTACAAAGAATAAAAGGTCAACATAAACACTAGATGCGTGTAAAGCTAAAAACATGCATAGTTTTTTTTTGTAGTGTAAAGATAGCTGAAATTCTAAGATTSTCATGTCTCTTTTTGCAAACAAGGAACATAATACATTGTGACAACCTTCAGTACTGCAATGACAGATGCTCAAGAGCTAGAGACACATTTTTACTTCACTCTCCTTAAAAAGATTTTGACACACCAAAAATAACATATATTAAGTAATTAATAATTATGAACAATACCTTTCTAGCTCTTCTTTTTCTTTTTTCTTTTGTTGCTCTTTTATTTCCATCTGAATATTTTGTACAACACATTGTCATGTCAAAAAAGTAGAATTTTTTTTCATTAACAGCATTTAACTTTTAGTCTTTCCTTAAAAACAATTGTACAATGTACATTTAGATATTAGACCTGTTTTCTAAGCTCTTCTTGGTAAGCTTGCATGGCTACCCTTTTATTTTGTTTGTCATCAACTTCTTGGTTTCCTTGACCAATGTTAACCACGCCACCCAAGTGACTAACCCCCCCTGGAGGCTGATGAACRTGACCTCCTCTTGGAGAAACAGCTGTTAAAAAAATATAGATAATCAGTTCATTGCCAAAACCAGAATTCAAAGTCTCATTTTCCATCTACAATAAAAAGATTGTGAAGGAATATTACACTCAGATCTTTTATGACACAGTATGATTCAATCAAYGTTGTGATTATGATGGTTTTATTCTTGCAGAGACATGTGATAATAATCAACAGAAAACCACAATGCAAAATGAACAAAACACAACCCACAGAGAAGCCATGGTAAAATGGAGTGCCTATACCTACCTGGCTGGTCAGGTGAAAATCCCACTTTCTTTTTTCTTTCTTGTCTATCTTGATAATGGTCTAAAAATAGAACAAWTGGGAACTGATAACATACTATTACTTATTAGAAATAGTACTCTTAGTTTACTCTTTAGAAATTAGTGAACAGAGTAATCAAGAACCATTAATAAACTTCATTCATGGTTCCCATATTGAAAGGTGCCTTTAAATCTAAGCAAGATAACCAGTGAACATACAATAATAACAACCTGTCAATAAATGTCTGTACGAGCAGATGGTTTGGGGACAATATGTGTCTTTACTTGATAGCTACACATTATGACTTTGTGCTGAATTTTTTTTAACAACAACACATTTCGTTTTGACACAAAGTTAAAACTTCCTCAGTTGAATAACAGTGACTTGTATAGAGACTAATTTACCTAGTGAAGGCTCCCCCCTTGTACCACCATCATAATGTCCTGTAGATCCATATCCTGGGCTATTGAATAATGGATCCTGTAATGCAGTTGCTGTACGAGCACCCCTTTCTTGTGTCCCATAATAATAATAGGGGTCATCATAAGGGCTAGGGTACAACGATTGATGTTGGGGTGGCCTGGAACTAGGGCCATAATTAGCAGTGGGTATGTTGTAAGGGTCTTGTTTTAGAGCTGSCTGCTGTGATATCCTTGGTGTTGTGTTCTGATTCTGAAAAAATAAACAGTCACATAAACTAGTGAAACAATGAAGCTGAAAACAAGCAATCAGTGTCTAAATACAAGCATATTATCTATAATTATGTCTTTTATCATACCTGTTGTCGGTCAGAATCCAGGAAGTTACCAGGTATTTCACCAGGAGCACCCAACCTTTCCACTTTTTCTCTGAAAATAATAATTTCGTACTTATTAATTTTATATATCACAATCATTTTGCAATCAAAAGAGTTCAATGGCAAATTAAGCCCAATGCTAAAATCCTACTTCTTCTTATTGCTTTCTTTTAGTTTCATTTGTTCTTCCAGTTCTCGTTTGTACTTCTCTTGTTTCTTGAGTTTCATTTCTCTGGTTTCAATATGGCTACCTGAAAACAAACAATGATAAACAACAGAAAGCAATGAGAAATTYAAATACGATCTTAAAAAAACTGACACAGATGTACAGTTTAATATTTCATAAATGACAATAATAAACTATCATGAATTTGACTACAAATTTACAATAAAGAACAGGGAAGAAAATACTATGAAGATCGTTCAATCTGAGGAAGATCACATCTTCAATAATATCAGTTAAAATTTTAGAAATCCCATCCTACTCAAACCCAACATCACGTCACTTCATCAAATTGCTAACAATACTGTATAAAGGCCACATTCTACTTGGAAGATGTGGCTGAGATGAGCATGATCATGTCAGGTAACTGATTGTCAACTACATGGCAATAATGCAAGTATACCCACCAATAATTCCAGCTCCTTCTGGTAAAGGTGCAGAATTGGACCTGATTTCATTGTCAGTTTTAGTTCTTCTAATGGAATCATCAGATACTGGTTGGCGATTACTAGAGAACAAAGACAAAAAAATAAAAACAAACATGATAAACTTCATAAAATAGATCAATACAATTTAATTCCTTGCTGTTGTTAGCTACAATAAAGCAATGATGCTGGGACAATCACCATATTGCCTTTACTTACACAGTTCTTTCTTCATGAGCACTGTTTCTTCTCCTTCCTTCTCTACGTGACTGCCTCTTAAGCTGAAAAACACAGTCAGTTGTGAAGGATAACAATAGTAATAACTAAACTACATCATTAATATAGGGTTTATAACATTTACTTTCACACCACATTTAAATTTACCCCCAACTCTTTTTGACTGAGGAAAACCAAGGAGAAAACTCTTGTAGTAGAATAAAGAAAGTTAATTTAAAAATAGTATTTGATGCCTAATTAGCCAACAATCTTGAGGYTCAATCATATGATAACATGTATCATTCTTTAGAATACATTTCCATTTATAAACTGCCTTCCATGTTGATTTCATTGACTATAATACTGTTACCTTATCAATAGCATCAAAAAGATAGTCATCCTCATCCTCATCATAATCATTTACTAGTCGCCGACGTGGTGGTCTTGACCAGTATCTAGAGATGACAATATGATTCAATTCATCAATATCTATATTCTACTGCAGTAATGAATACAATAATAAAATACTGATTTATAYGCTTAGATTTATTAGCAACTATTAGAAATTCTATAAGATTGAGTTAAAAAATATATCAGCCAWTAGTTGACAAGATGTTTTGATTGAAATATTAAGGGCTATATGGAGTTAGGGCAAGAAAAAGCTGTTAGGTACTTTGTCTTTACTCAACACTTRGATTTCACTGTTTACAGGTCTACACATAATGGAATAGTACTGTATAAATGACTCTACCACCATCTCTATAACTTGTTTATCTATTTTTATTAGTATGTGATAAAAATATTCTACACACGTACCTGTCATCCATATTGTCATCTTCATCATCATACTCATGAAATCGTACTCGTCTATTAAAGTACATAAAATAATAATTATAATAAATAATAGCAGCAAGAGAGAGCAAACTGCCATTATTCCACATAGCATTCTGTGTGCCATCCAAACCAAACACTGTAAAAACATATTTTTTGTCTGTTTTGTTGAAGCCTTATTGCATGAATACAGAGAAAKTTTAGAGTTAATTCAGAATTTAGTGCTTGCTGTCTTGCTGTCTCATAATTTAAGTTCTGGATGAAATATTAAGCTTTGAACAACATCCAGTGCTGAAATAGAAATCACACCTTGAAAGGAGGTGGAGCAGGCATGGGTGAGATACCATGAACTTAAACAAATTGAAATGAGAACAAATAACACAGCTCAGGGAGATGTCATGACAAGACCTGACTTGYTGAAAGTTAATTATATCAAATTATTATTTCTTAGCCTCACTTGGACTCRACATTCCTATTTCTTCTTCTAGAACGTCTTCCATATCCAAACTAAAACAAAATATTWTATTTWAATAAATGGATAAACTGATTCATTGTGATTGATAATWAAAATCCTAATACTTCATTGATTGAATTAACTGATTATACATTGATTAATGATTGTTACAAGTATCATCAAATTATAATTATTAAAATTGCTCACTAGCAATTCTTTTTGAGCTGGAACAAACTCAACTGTGAAATATTGATTGAGAGCATATTATGCTTCAGTCTATAAAAACTGTTTTTTTTAGAGAAAGGCATGGTTGAGAGTATGGCCTAAACCAACACAGTAAAATATGGATTTTGAAAAAAATTAATATATCTATGGAATTGCTAGAACTTTACACTGCTTATTAGTATCATAGGGATCATGGCAAAAAATAGCAGCCATTTTGGAGAAAGGTGATTACCTCGTCATCATCAAAATCATCATCGTGTCTACGTGAAAGAAATCCATCACTTCTAGAACTTGACTTGTAGTTTCTACTGGCAAGTTTCATYTGTCTGTTAAAAATACAAGTCAGAATGACCATGAATAATTCATGAAGATTTAAAATCAAATTATCACATTAAAAAATTACATTATCATGATGATAATGTGGGAGATTTTTCTTCACACACAAAGTCTTTATTTCATGCTTTAAAACTCAGCTTAAAGAAATACTTTATGATATGTAAATTAAAAGAAATTTACTGTTTAGCATCAACCACACCATAGACTTTCACAAATCTAGCATTCTGATTGATAAAGATTGATTTGACCTGTTATTACATGGTCAAATCAGGAAAACAAAAAAAGTTCAAAAGTCCAGACCTACAATTTGGTGTATTAGACTGCTAAGTCTTGTGTACTACAGTTTGATAGTTCATTTGGCTGATAACTCCCTCATGTACTATCACTTGTAGTCCACTCGATGTCCTGGTCCAAATCAGTAATTTATATATTGAGATCATATAACTGAGAATACCTTAGTTCATCATCAATGTCAAAGCCTTCAAACCTGTATCAAAAATAWAATACATGATATATGGATTAGAAATCTATAGAACTGATTTTAACATTATAACCCAGTAGAATAACAATATCAGTTGATAATTATGCAACTTTTTTTATCCATTATTAAACTTCTTTTATTATCGATTCTGACATATAAACCAAATGAAAAATGGTGGACCAATTTAAATAGGGTAACAGCATTTCTGAATGACCAGCCCTTGAAAKTCTAAGCTATATTTGCATATTATGTACAAGTCGCTATTCAGCTCAGAACAATAGCCCATATCACATTTTAAAATTTTGATTAGTAAAATTTTGATTTAAAAAACCCACTTACTAGCCCTTTGAAATTCACCAGTAAATTTAAAACATATTACGGTACCACAATTTTGAATGGCTTTCAGAGTTACCCATGAAATCATCTACACATTGTTAGTTACATTTTTCACCAATTTTCAGGTTCAGTCTATTATATGCATACATGCTGTGTTTGATTCTACAACACTACACACTGCAGAGAATGCTATGTATATAATAGAATACTTTCAAAATTCAAAAACACCAACCCTCTATATTTTCGTTCATCAGCTCTTTTTCTTCTCAGCAGATCTTCATAACTTTCCTTTGCAGGATATTGCCGAGATCCTATCAAAATGTTTACAAGATCAAAAGGCGATCTACTGTTGATACATATTAGCTCAAAAGACACAAAAACCCTCTCTGAATCATACCTCTACCATCGACATAATCATCCTAAAATTAGATCAAAATAAATCATGTTATTAATCACATAAATACATCAAGCGGCTTCTTTGAATGCTACTCTAATAGAGCTTTGGGCTTCCTGTTTGATAGTCTAACCCTGGAGAACTGGCAACAGGAGAAGAGATTGCTCTTCCAATCACTATTTGCAGGTTACAATTTAAAGATAGCTGTTTTTTATTCTTAGTGGTTTTTCCCAGAACCTCTGATGATCCAGGCAAGGAGAATCCCTGTTTAGATCATGAATAAAACTAACTTCTACTCACATTGTTCTCATAGTTTTCTTTACCACGTCTTCTGTTTCTAGGGGGAGGTGGGGAGTCTCTTTTTTCATACTGTCCTTCTATTGACCTTCTTCCAATTGACTTTTAGAATTTCCATAAAAATAAAATTATTATAAATATTAATTTTCAAAAGGTACCCATACAAATTTTTAGTCTATCAATAAGAAATTTTACCAAGCCCGTGTGAAGTCTCATGCTCTATGATCGTCTTTAGAGTGTGTCAATAAACACAACATTCACACAATGCTGATGTTATTATATCTTATAAACATTGAAAAAAGAATGAGTTTCGCAAAACATTTTGGTAAAAAAGTTGCTGTACATTGACATCATAAAAGGTCTAAAAACTCTGCAAGGAGCTTTGCAGTACACCTGAGTTTGGAACTTTGTATGACACCTTCTTTACATGTACCTCTTGTTTATCATTCACTGCATTAGTTATTGGTGACACATCTTTTTCTTTCAATGCAGGACCATCAACTTTCCCTGTAGTTCTTAGTTGTTTCTACAATGCAATATTAAAAATATATAATGTTAAAGTTTGACAAATGAATCTATGCAATATAATAAAGCATGACAGCATGTACATTATGTAATGTATATTCATCTCACATGACTGACAAATAAACATGTTTATAAGAAATGGATTTATCATAAAACAGTCATCCACTGATTTATCATTCACTAAAATGATCATTATGAAATACATTTGTACAAATAAAACTATATTGAATATCTAAGTACTTGTGAGTCTACTATGATTACCTCTGCTAAGAACTTGATGTATTCTTGTCTTCTCTCTTCTTTTAGTTTCTGCTGGTGTTTGGCATAACCTCCTAGCTGTAAACCAGATTCTTCATTGCCATTAGCTAATAAAGAAACACTGCTATTAATACTACTGCCTCATAGATTTTATATGAGGATTTACTGGGACTGATAATAAAAGCTAAAGTCCAGGGTACTAGCATTGTTTTAACATATTAAGCCACAGTTCGCGACCACAGTTCAATGGATGAAATGCAGAATAATGAAGTAATAAACAATTTTGATTAATACAATGTTCTACATTTATTTATTTTTTCCTCATTGAAATAAMAAATGCAKCAACAATGAGTGCATGTTATACTTAAACATTCAATTATCAATAAGTTCTAAAATGTCACCTGTCCACCTGTTTTATTATTAGCAAATAACGATGTTGCTCATGACTAATTCATGTCACTAACAAGGAATAACACTGAATCTACCTTGAACTTTCATTAAAAATATACTCAATGATATATTCTGACTTACTTTCATGATAAACATGCCATTGAATGTCAATTAAAATAAGATGAAAATGAATTTTGTTAACTGTCTAAGTCTTAATGTCTGGGTAATGTAGCCCTTAGGCATGACTATTCTGCTTAGTGATGTTAACAATCATCACCTATAGAGGAACTCTTATCAACATCATAAAAAAACACATGTACGACTGCACAGATGTTGTCGATTGCTATTGAAATAGCTCTAACACAGAAAGATGAAACTAGGTGTAACCAATCCATGTTTCCAACTATCTATAAAGGCAGACATCCAAACAACAAAGGAGTATCATCAACCAACTTCAATAATTATTAAGTGAAAACTGTTGTATTCTTACTTACAAGTGGATTTCACTGATGGCTGCTCAATATTTCTGTAAAACAATGTAATATACAAGTCAAAATAGATCCACAAATTAACTCTACATGTGTATCCAATAATTTATAAAGCAGAGTTTTTTGTTTTGTTAAGAAAACCATCAGAAAAACTATCTTATTTATTTAACTGACCTTTTTGTTACTTCAATTTCCTTGGGAGATTTTCTTCCCTATAAAATATAACCTTAGTTTCCTTAATAATACGCAATAAGTAAGTTCTTAAATTGAAATTTTAACTAAAGAATTTGTACAACTTTTGTATAACACTTTTTTAAACCATACCCAAAGTTAATACATACAAACCTAATAAAGAACCTCTGAATAAACATTAATAATAAAAAGAACAGATAAATTTGGATTGTTTTCTTTTTAAAATACACATGACATAATTATTATAACTGAATTAAAAGGCTTACATGTCTATCTTGAGAAGTAAAGTTGTAATTCCCATCTCTAGTTAATTCTGCTCGTTCTTTCTCCAACTTGTTCTTTTGTTGCTCAATAAAACTTGATAAATCGTCTGCCATTTGATCTGAGTGTTTTTTGATCAAAATCCCTCATACCTTTGATTATAACACAATACAAGAAAACCCGCCAAAACCAATTTTCACATCTTTTGTTTTGTCGTTGTCAAGTTCAAAGGACTTCCAAAATATGAGGACTGTTTCGTCTTTGAACCATCCAACTGGTCTGGTTATATACAATGAAATGTTGTTATTCGTGTAGCATGCGATCYAATAGCGTTCGATCAAAATAACAACTCAAATAGCGTTAAAATTATATCAATATTTGTCGTCTTTACCGACCGCCATGTTAGCTCGGTTACCAAAACACTCGCCCATAATCCTTCGCAGGGGATGACACAGGAAGACCGTCATCGGTGAGAAATCCAACATGGCCGCTCACATACACTGAAACGTTTAACCAATTTTTGAAGAGAAACTTCGAAAATGCAGGTCTCAGAGCCTAACAATGTGAAGATATATAACTTGTCGGCTGGGAAGACTTTGCCAGAGGTATGATAATGATTATTTTGTCTCGTATTTTGAATATTTTTGTATTTTAATTTTGTTGTTGTCAATGATCAATTCGTACACGTGCTTGCAATTACAGCCAAAGTTTCATTACTAAGCTTGTTTTATTCTCTATAGTGGCTTTCAGAAAGAAAAAGGAGAACTTTACAGAAAAATGACATTGGTAGGAGAAAACCGGCTTAAGTTACATTCAAATTCAGGGTTACAGWAAGCTTATATGTTTCAATTCCTTATTGTCAGATATACGTAGAAGGATTGAACTTATTCAAGAATTTGAAATGCCAACTGCATCCACTAATATACTTGTATCAGCTGATAAAGAATATGTCATGGCAACTGGTGGGTAGATTGATGTGATGATAATATTCATCACCGTCGTAATAGTAGTATAATGATGCACTAGGAAATACGTGACGTAGAAATAATAGAAAGTAATAATGCTATCATGAAAGGAGGTGGTCCATTCCAGGMAAAAGAACCTTGAAAATGAATTCAGAAAGATTAATTTCCAACCTCGCTGGGATTCAAACCCACAACCTTTGGATTTGTACTACCGATGCTCTACCAGCTGAGTTACACGGCCAAGGTGTTGGATTTGAATCCCAGTGAGGTCGGAAATCAATTTTTCCAAAATGTTTCAATATTTCTCTCAACCAGAATAACCAGCTTTCATAGCACTGTAACTTTTATTGTTTCTAATTCGTCCTGAAAGTATAATGATTATGAAAATAATTACTTTGGGGCCAGTTGTATGAAAAGTGAATAGCACTTTCCACGACATAAAGTCCTTATTCATAAAATTAACCAGCCTTCTTACAAATGGACCAGTTGTACRAAGAATGATTAAAGCTACATTCTCCATAGATTTTGTGTGGATTCTACAAGATAAGGAATTATCTGATGGATAGTGCTATGCACCAAAAATTAATTTACATCCTGTTATAATGGAAGTGACATATCAAATATTTTATCATAAAATTTATAAAATATTCTCAGTGTGACCCCTTATCTCATTTCTGATTAACTAGGAGTTTACAAGCCAAGAGTAAGGTGTTATGAGACCAGTCAATTATCTATGAAATTTGAAAGATGCTTTGACTCTGAAGGTATTTTTATATTTTGTAGTGGTTATCATATAATGAACTTATGCTACAGGAGGCTGAAGGTTGTCRTTTCTAACTGCATATCATTATTTCATTGCAGTTGTCAAATTTTCAATTTTATCAGAAGATTATTCAAAGGTATAATTATGATACTATGTGTCTCAWTCGTCATACAAAATGATTATCAATCATCAATTATCACTCACTAAATTAGACATTCACTTATAAACAATTATTTATGCTTGCATGTTCTTGTATCCTTTGTAATTGATTCACTTATTCACACTAATTGTATGACAGTTATGTTTTTGTTTTCGTTATTATTTTTAGATGGTGTTTTTGCAGGCAGATAGATTTTTAGAATTTCATGTACAGGTGAGAAAAATGTCTAATAATATCATAAAATAGTTTTATATTGGAAAAAATGGTATTTGCAGTACATGTGGAACTGTCTTTATTTAATTTTTATCCTAAAAGTTTTGTGTATTTTGTTAGTATGGGAGGTTATATAGAACAAGAATACCAAAGTTTGGTCGAGATTTAGCTTACCACTATCCATCATGTGATTTGTATGTTGTTGGAGCTGGGTAAGCTATTATCTTTATATTATTACTAGTAAACTTACATGTAAGTTATCTGCCACTATTATGTTATATTATATTTATCTAACAGAATACTATAAATACTGCTATAAAATTGATTTATCTGCCAGTGGGTATGTTTTGCAATATTTATTGGTTTGGTTATCACTGTCAAATTTGTCTTATTGTTCAGATCCGATATCTACAGACTGAATCTTGAGCAAGGGAAATTTCTAAATCCTCTAAAAACAGACGCTGTGTAAGTTTATTGATTGGAATGAACAATCATAACACTGTACATGTTTCATTGTTTTGGCTTATGCAATCAGTGGATTTGTTTATAGCTATTTCGAAAAAGGTTGYCRGSTAAAATGGCKAWTGTCAATGGTYGAACGGCGATTGCACGACCGAAAGTAGCCATGGGTTTTTCTAGTTGAAAGGCAATAACAACTGATTTGTACTGTAAGGTGGTCTGTGGTAAACATTGGCCCCATTTATTCACCATTTCTCTGCAAGGTGAATCCAAGTGAAATTCTGTATATCAAAACAGTGTAACCATAGTCCCTTTCGGTCRTGCAATCTCCCTTCGACAATCGCCGTTCACCGTTCTCCCCGACAACGTTTTTTGAAATAGCTGTATATTCATGAATAAGTAAGGTTATTTTCAAAAAAAATCATTTATTTTTCAGTGAAATTAATGTTTGTGATTTTAATCCTGTTCACCAACTTTTTGCTGCTGGTACATCAGAGGTACATATTGCCTATAAAATATACCATTGAAGATAAAATGTATTCTGTACAAATAGTTCTTCTTCAAAAAATACTTTTCAAAAGATTCTATATATGTATTTGATCTAGTATATTTTTTTTGTATATTGCACAGGGCCGTGTGGAATGCTGGGATCCAAGGTCAAGAAGTAGAGTGGGTGTTTTAGATGTTGGACTTAGTGGAATATCACAGGATAGGTACACAGAAATGCATCTGATAAAACAATAATAACAAGGCTGTAAAATCTCAAATACTATTTTATTTAGTACTATTTTATTGCTATTTGATTTTATACTCTATATCATAAATACAATAGGTATTCTTGAGAAAAGCATAAAAAAATTGTGTTAAGAAATTTTTTAAAAGCCTTAGAAGAAACTTTACCATTCCCCAGCTGTGCACAGAAGGTGCCATCCTCCACAATATGCAAGCCTTTCTATTCCTTACATGTACAATTGTTAGCCAGACTGTTTCTCTTCGTGTGTTTGGTCTTTCTCTAAAACTATGTTGCCCTGGTGTCAGCCCAAATCAGTCTTATAGTTTCATGTATACTCTCCCTCCCTTCTTATAACATGCTTAATTGAGATTCAAGCTTGTGTTTTCTGTTTATCTCAGGTCAAATGTTGTCCCTTCTGTAACAACATTGAAATACAATGGTGGACTGGCGATGGGAATTGGTACAGCAACTGGACATGTTAGTATACATTATATTGATGTTGATTAAATCAGTAACTCATAATTATGAAAATAATCACTACTACAACAGTTATTGGCCAATATTGTCAGTTGGCCTCACGTAGGGAAAATTGTCTCTGCGATGTGGGACCAATTCCTGCAAAGAAGGTTGGGTAGGGAATGATGTACATTATACAGGGTACAATAATACAATATTTTGTTGATGCAAAGTTTATTTTGATAGGTATTATTATATGATATTCGTTCTACTAAACCGTTACTAATAAAAGATCATCAATATGGACTTCCAATCAAAAGTATGGCATTTCAGGACCAACTTGTGTTATCAGTGGACTCAAAGATTCTTAAATTATGGGATAGAGAGACTGTAAGTTAACCTGGAATCATTAAATATGTACATGTTGTATTCAAAGGATGTTATGCAATGACCGACAGCCAGCGCAGGGCGAGGTTACAAGTCATAATCATTGTTTTTATTGGTGAAAACAATGACATTTAGAGGGGAGGGGTAATAAATTACCCTGGGGACCAGAGGCTGGATTTACTCGTTCTTGTAGTTTATATACGGCGCAAGGTTTACCGTAAAACTGGTTTACGGTTCGGCCTTCGGCCTCAAGGATGGCGCCTCACGCCGTATATAAACTACAAGAACGAGTAAATCCAGCCTCTGGTTCCCAGGATAGTAATAGATGTACAGTAGACAGAAAGTGATAGAGTTGTGATTGGCAATTTGGAAGATAATGGACTGACACATGATGGATGCATGAAATCATTGTATATCATGGGATATATGGTGTGTGTCATAGATGGACAGGCTAACTTTATTGGACTGATGGATGCTGGTGTAAGGAATAACATACTAGACCTTTAAAGAATCAGTTTAAATTGATATTTTGCATAGAGTATGGATAGATTCATTAAAGGGTAGAATATATCTAACATTGAAAGCTATGAAGACAGGTAGTTATTAATAGAAGAGTAAACAAGGACAGATAAGAAAAGATAGGGAACATGAGTTGAATGCTTCTACTGATACAATTTATTCAATTATTGATTTGTAGGGCAAACCTTTTACATCTATTGAACCACAAACAAGTATCAATGATTTGTGTCTGTTTCCTGACTCAGGTAATCAACACCACTCCAGTGTCAACAACTAAAAAATAATAAATAGCTAATGGGGTTGGTATTTTTGGAGCCTGCAAGCCCGAGTCTCTAAATGCGAGCCGCGAGCCTATTTAGCGAGCCTTCTTCAAAATAACTAAAAAACATAATTTCTTTATTCCTGTTCTTATATTGTAGAATTTCACTACAGTCATGTACTTTGGTGCATGCTGACTGATTTAACACTGTTTTTCGTTGAAAAACCAACTTAGTAAGATAATTCAGAAATTCTAGGCTAATTAGAAATGAGACGACTTTTGAACATCTGACGGTTTATTGTAGAGAGACGAGATAGAATTGAAGTAAAACATGACATAAGCACTACARTTGTGGAAAGACCTCTTGTCAGGTCCAAAGAGGTAGTCTTCTGGTTTTTCTGCTCGAGGCACATACCCAATCACGTGATGAAAAAACTAATTTACATGAAATCTACAGACAAACAATATTCAATACATGACAGCGTTTTGCAGTTAATCGCACGATTCAGGCAAACATCCAACTTTTTTCCGGATTTCGTTTTTCAATTTTAAACTCATCACTAATGACGAACTTGGCATTAGGTGCATGTATGGTGGGGGGTAGTGACCGAGGCTCAATCAGCTGGTTACCATGGAAACCCAGTCACGTCCCCACCTTGCACCTGTCACACTGGCCGTGACCAACCAGTGGAATACTTACCTATACTTACCTTGTTACCAGGGTGTGGAGGGGTGGGAATCAAGAATTTGCGATTGCGATAATGTATTTCAGTTGCAGGCAAGTTAGCATTGATGATTGTCATGTCTGTGGTCGAATAAGGCAGGCAAACCATGTGATCTCGCTGCTCCTGATTGGCTGGYCGTGATGGGTTGTCAAGCGTTGAGATCCTTCGTTAATTGCACAAATTAGTTAATTAGTGGGTATTATCTTATAGCAAGCTGGCAACCTAACCCATTTCATGTCAAGACAGCCATAATGATCCMTGCTTATCAACACCGGTAGTGAATTTGGTGGTCGCTGTTTTAGAGGCTATCATTAGCTTGTGTCTAACCTTTCTTAAATTACATTTAAGCCCATTTAACCCTTTCGCTCCCAGGAGTGCCATATGCCATATTTGAGATGTTCTTATTACTGCAGCTATTCAATGGCTGCGATAAAAAGCACACGATTGTATTGGGAAAAAAGATCTCTAGGCCAACTAAAATTGCAGAGAAAAAAGCAGGGGGAACTCAGTAGTATTCAAAATAATTTGATGTTTTACTACAAGGCTTTTATTCGTGCTTTGTAACCCATGAATCCTGTACAAATTTAACCTGAGTATTAGATCTTAGAGGGCATTAGAGACTGATCTTGGCCGAAGGTGCTTACGGCACAGACAACRTTCTTCACGAGATCTCGCTACTTGGAAGTGATCCCATGAGCTAAAAAACATTTTAATTTAGAAATAAAAGTATCACAGCTAAAGTTCACATCATGTACAAGTACTTGGACCGTGTATTTGGATTACTGAAATGTCTAGGTTGAGATTTAAAACAAAAATGTCTGTTAATTTGCTATTTTGAAAGAGGCTCGCAAAAAAAGGATTGCAGCTCGCACATTAGTTACACTCTTATAGAATATGTGTGTAACAGCTATAAAGATACTTATCGACACTTGACTGAATGACAACTTCAAATCAGTAATGGAAATTATCATCTCATAATCATCAATCCATGCGCCTCAACTGTAAATGATCCACTTGTGCCACATCCATTTTTTTAATGATGTTTTCAATTACTTTCTTTGACAATAATCATGATATTATGTTAACAAATACTTATATTTTTGCAAACAGGTTTGTTGTTTATGGCTACAGAGGCACCCAAGATGTTTGTATATTATATTCCAGTAAGTATTAGATTTGAAACATGATGATGGCATTCTYATAAGAAGTGCTACCTCTCCTTAAAAGACGCTGGACATTATTTACTTCAACAAACTTGAAAGTTTCTTTATCTCAGTTGACAGAAATTCATCTTTTTTTCTTCTCCACCTTGAGTCAGTTTTCCATGTCCAATAGATAGTGCTATTTTCTGTTAATACAAAACGCTCTTGAGTTTTAATTTTCGATTTTTGTGGATAATAATTTAGGGACATTATCCCAGGTCCTTTTGTCATTTTTGTGTGTTCAATTACCTGGGAATTTTAAAGGTGTTATAATATGGGTTGATGACGACTAAGCAGTAACATGATAATAATAATAATAATAATAATTTTATTTTATACAGCGCTTATACAAATCTGCTCTAAGCGCTTTCAAATTACAAACAATTACAATGACAGAGTCATGGTAGACTGCGAGCTTAAGATGGCGCCTCATGGCTGCCGCTCTTAGTCCGTCCCAAGATATCAAACTTAAAAATTACAACAATAAAAATTAAAATATAAATGACACTACAAAAAATACATACAAGGAATAAAGAAGCATGCATGATGGCCGGTGGCTCAGACGAGCTCATTCGCCCTTTGACAGGTCTTGTTTTTAGTCCTGCTGGGTGTACATGCCACCCTCCTCACCAGTTAGACTGGTGGGGGAGCCGGTTTAGACGCCGACGACCCGTGATAGCACATGTTGTGTTAATAACAGGCTTTAGGTCCAGCACCAAGATGGTGTTCCTTCTTAGACAACCTGACTGAAGAACTGGAAGAAGACCAACAACCAACTGGTGAGACCATTATAATTGTAGCTGACAAACACAGTAAAAGTCTTTGTGATAGTGGGAAAATGACCACAATTCTTAGTTTGCAACCACTTCCTGTACAGTTAGTTAATGAAAATACAGTACACAAGAAATGGCTACCAAATAGACCAATCCAGCATTCTCTTGGGTGAACACAAAAAAAATGGCTTCATTTCGAGGCTGGAGTTTTATCTTTTGTCGAAATCTCCAGCCTCGAAATGAAGCCATTGTTTCGTGTTCATCCAAGCAAATGCAGGATTGGTCTATAGTGGTATAAATGAAGAAAAACACTAGTGAGACTTGCCATGTCTTGTTATGGATTCTTTTGGGGATAATTGGAAAAAAGCAATGTTACTAATGAAATAATATTTAGTAATTTWCATTAATCAGTCCAATTAGAGTTTGGTATAGTTGCAGTGTTTCATGCAGTCAGTTTCCCGCATTCACACTGTGACTTCTTTGTTGGCACTTCTATGGCAGAATAAAGCTAGCAATCGATGACAGCAATGATGATGCTAGTGAATTATACAATCATTAATAAGTCAAACGTTTATTTGTTTATTAGTTTACGATGACTACAAGTTCGTTACAAAAGAGGAATTAGAAAAACTAGGTAAGTCAGACCTCTGTACCACTATATCACTACCCAGTGGATAAATCCACATCAAAGAGCATCGAGCTAGGGGGATGCTCCTAATATCATTACTATTCTATTATTATCCAGTGAAATCTATGCAAAATCTATCGACACTGAACAACTTTTTCCGCCTTTCGTCTTTCCATAGACTGTGTTACATCCGGAATTTCTCTATAAATTAGAGAGAAATTCCGGATGTAACACAGGCTATCTTTCCAGCGATTGCAACTTTTTTCTATTCCCAGGGCTAACACATCTGGTTGGCACAAACCTTTTACGAGCGTACATGCATGGATATTTCATGGACATCCGACTTTATCAAAAGGTTAGATATCACGACCGTAGTTTATATTGCGGTCATATTCAAGGGGTCTCTATTAGGCGACCAATTTCCTCGAGTCAGTATGTTACCGGGGAGATTTCCGTTCAAATGACAAGATTTAGTACAGTTCGCCATTTCTATTACTAGTAATGTATGCGGTTCAAGTCCATTTCGCCGTTTGATTAAATTTATTATGTTTTTTCTTGATTAATTGCCAGGCAAAGACGATAGCAGAACCATTTGCATTTGAAGAATATCGAAAGAGGAAAATTCTGGAAAAGATAGAAGAAGAGCGTGAAAATCGTGTCAGAATTAAGGTGGTGCATTTTGTATTTCAGCTCTCTGCAGTGTATTCCTTGGTGACCCTAGAGGTTTTTCGGATGGTGTTCAACTTTAGGACAGGGTCATCCATTGCTTAGATTTGGGCAACGCCTTTTAACGTTATTCCAACGCCTTTTCTGTGTAGACACGGTTGTCTTTTATGAAAAACGGAGTGATTCTGGTGTTTATTGATACTTTTCCTGAACGACCCCTATCCTTCTAGCACAATGAAACGAAGATGTCATGTAGTACAGTTTCTTTTTTGTTCACAAATGTATAACATACAGTACTGTAGGATAAAGCACGTGTCGTGTGCTACATGTAGTTATTCTTGTCAATTAAGTATGCTATACTATATATATATATATATATTATAATATACACCACGACAAAGCGCATTCAGCAATTTTTAAGCTATTTACTGCAAGTAAAAATATGGCTGTTTAATGTTTGTAGAAATTACCGCGAATTAACAGAGCATTGGCTGAAAAATTATTAGAAGAGAAGAAAGAGAAAAAGAAAGCAGCTAAGGTCATCAGTAAGGTAGGTTTATCACACATAACCTTATCAGTCTTGCAATTTGCTCTATTATAGTTAATGGCTGTCTCTTAGTGTTATATTTTTCTTTCTTTAAATATACTCGATAATTAAATGATAACTTGATAATAATAAGCAAAAATATTGTTTTTAGGCGTCTGATGTCACTAATCCACTGGGYGATGAGCGCTTTGCTGCCATGTTTAAAAACCCTGACTTCCAGGTTGATGAAGAAAGTGAGGTAAGTAGAGACTGGTAGTGAAATTGTGATAGTGATGAGGTTATAGTAATGTCTGGTATACGAATGTTAAATCTATAATAGTGTGAATTTGTGGTGCAAAATGTTCAACTCTTGAAAAAATTGTTTTCCGTATATTTTCGTATTCATANTATACAGCTGTTTGCAATAATTCTGACCCCCTCTGCCATATTTCATATATATCAAACTGACCTTAAATATTATGGGATATCATGACTGATATATTTTTTGAGTTGCCCAGAATGAGTACTTTCTCAAAAAAATATCAGCATTGGTATCCCATAATTTCTAAGGCTACTTTGATATATATGAATATTAGTGTAGGGGGGTCAGAATTATTGCAAATAGCTGTACTAGCTTTCTTTGCCTGAATAATAGTTTTCTGTAGAGTGAGGTCATTTAACCTGTGGAACCTGTTACAGTGTRATAGTTAGATAGCACAAAAGAAAACAGTGAGCGTACTAAGGTGTATTAGTGTAATTTTAAGGGGTTTTTTGAATTCACTCTATCCTATAACAGTATTTTAATTAGTACTATTATTATCAGTATTTTAACTAATTTAAAAATTAGTATATAATTCATAATTAATATCTTTTACGTAAATTTATGCATAGTTATTTAATATTATAATTGGTTATTTGAGAGACTTTGAGTAACAGGAAAGGTACAGTATAAATATTAGAATTAAGAACGACAATAAAAAACAACAGCGAGCAACAATAACAACAACARCAACAATAGAAAATGCATTTTAGATAGCTATGTCTGACAGGTTTGGCAAGCAGTTTAATTTATTTACAGTTCTTGGACTTGAAATGTCTTTTTCTAGGAATTAGAAGGCAGAGCAAGTTCTGATGAGTCGAGCTCAGATGATGAACATACTTGGAAAGAGGAACAGCGACGAGAACTCAAGAAACCCGTTAAATCGGAACGAAAACCAAACAAACCTAAGTTTTACGAGGTGAAAGAACCTACAGAATTTAAATCCATTGGTCCTACAAACGCAACAGCAACCAGCACAAATAGGTAACTAAAAAAATCATTCAAACCACGTATGATTAGTTTTTCTTAGGAAAATCCTAGGCTTCCTCCCCCTGTACCAACGGCCTGTGGTTGCCGCTATAACATTCTACGTAGTTTACATTTCAGAACTTGACAGTAGCGTACTRTTAGCACAATTTTGATGCCATATTTTGTCCATATTTTATTCCTCCAGAGGATTTAGCCKTAAAGCACCAAAAGGACCCTATCATCAAGGGCACGCCTCCTTTGAGAACGTTCCCGAGGATGACCCTATTATTGTTTTTATTCTCCTTATTCAACACTGCATTAGACTACAGCAAAAACGCTTTACGTCTAACACTGCATACGGGTATATAGAGACAACTTAGCTTTGATAACCCTCATTCCATGTATGGCGAAATTTCAGTATTGTTAGTTTTTGCCGTTTTTCTGGGAATCATCTTCTTGTCATTATCTTCAAGTTCGGCAGTTCGATTAGAATACTTATAGGAAGTAAGCCGTTTTAGACTTAAGTATATAGTGAAGTGTCCTTATAAACTACACTTGTACATATATATATTGGAACAGATATAGAAATGAAAGAAAGTTATAGTGCTTAGAAGGAGGCAATTCCGGGAGAAAGACCCTTAGGAATTGCCTCCTTGTAAGCACTATAACTTTCTTTCATTTCTATATCTGTTCTTCATAGTGCCATCCGGTCCTCATATCCATGTATGTATTGTACCCTTCAAGCCAATATAAGTACCTGGGTCGTGACAKAAAGAAAATATTTCTCGTTTCTCAGAATATTATTTTGATCTATTTTGAGATAACAGTTCGGCTCAGAGCTTAGAATTGAAAATCATATCAATTAGGCCAATATGTAAACATCAAAGAATATCAAATCTTTTTATTTATTATTCCCAACGGGAATTTGTATAGAGGAAGATTGCACGCTGAGAGATGCACTTGATTTTATGGCTGATGATTCTATAGTTTGACGTCTAGGAAAAGTGTTGTGCTTAGCAGGTTCTAGTGATTTAGTGGTTATTTTCAAACAGAGACCAATATCCCGCTAGTTCCAGAGGATTGTTTTCTTAGAGAAAACGCGAAAATGTTAAGAGGAAGTGAGAGAAAACGCGAAAATGTTAAGAGGAAGTGAGAGTTAATTAAAAATTACAAATATCTGTGATAAAGCATAAAATAAGAATGGTAACTTTGTTTTTTTGATAGGCTATTTCCTTGTTACACGCGCTGCATAGGCTGACACGTTGACCGTGTGAAATCCCGTCAAACTTTTGACATTTTTTTATATTTTCATGCATTAGTTGAAACAACAAAGCCGCGGCCGCAAGTGTTTGGATCAGTGTCCTTTTTCAGGAAAACACGTAAAACATTTCCATTAGAGAGAACCGTTACGTAGACAGCCGAGTAGAACGTAAAYAGATGGTTGTTACGTTAACTTTTCAGTCGTAACACTTGGCTAAGAATTTGACCACAGTTTTAGTTAGCACTCTTGTTAGTTTTGTTGTTATCATATCTACAGAACATCTCTTGGTGAACGTGTAAGAAGAGAAGACAATAGGATTATACGGACCACTGGTTCGTCAGTGGGTGAAATGGAAATGACATTTTCTCTTAAGAAGGTAAAACGTTTGTTTATATTTGTTCGTTCTTTTTCATTCTTGCATGTTAGRAAGACATTTCTAGTTCACTATTGGTTCCTTCTCGCTTGTTTATTGCATCTTATCTTTGTCTGCAGGGTGAGGAAGAGACGCAACAACAAATACAACGTCGGGTTCACCGAGAGGAACGAAAAAAAGTTCGCCGGTCAGCAGGTTCTCTTATGGCTGGAGAAAAGAAAAAGCCAGTTTATTGGCGCGGAAAGAGAGTCAAATAATCCTACGGTCTCTATCAATCTAACAATCGTATTTTTTAAAGTATTAGATGATTAAATGGTTGGGCAGTGTGTGTATGCCACCCACATCAATACGATTTCAAAGTCAAATCCACAGGCTCAGAAAGCGCAAACACAAATTGTTAGCAGGATCCAGGAAAATTTAATGTATATTTTTAATTGAGGATATGTCTCTTATCTCCTTTAATCTCTTGCTGATAACCAATGAAGTGAACAATTGATGGGCGTTCTTSTAAAGGACAAGCCTGCGTGCAGTTAAAACAAAGCTGTTGTTATGATAATTGTTATTCATTTTTGTGAAGCTAAKTTATCACTTCGAGACTTGCTTTACTCGTTTGGTTACTCCCTTTCGGCTTTTGATTCCAAAGTTATGTTTTTTTCTCGTGTATTCCCAACAATCCTACGTGTTTGTAACAGAAACTAATGGTTAAAAGGCAATATGTGTAGTTTAATAAGATTAAGGTGTGACTGGAGAAAATCGGTGTTTTTTTTTCTTTTAATTTTCTTATACCATCGTCGTTTATTCTATAAAACCTATCATAATGCAGTACTCGGCTCGTCACTATAATCCAAATATTGTTGTAATTTTATTTCAAGAGATTTGTTGTATTATAGTAMCCATCAGTCTTTCACAGATAAAGCRTTATGATTACCTACTGAACTATGGTAGAGTTATCAGATAGACGCATCAATCAAGCGAAAACAGCCGAACAAAGGTCGAAAACAAGTGTTCTTTATGGTCAGTTTTATCAAGTTTGGTGGATACTACAACAACTCCCGTACAATCATATAATTCATATGCMAAATTCTTCACCAATTTCTTTGATCCGCCTTTTTTTTCTATTAATGGTCTTTTTATAGATCATGACAAATGGGAGTTGATAATCAGGGGCATAGAGTATAGGTGCAAGGCGATTAGTAAAGTAACATAAACTRTAGTAGACTGAAATCATATCACAGATCATCTTTGGTTTTGAAGCTATCACACGACAAGAGAATGACAATAAAGAAAAGAAATTGTTGACATCGGTCCGTGTGAATATGACTCTTCGAGACTATTCTTGACAAATGATCATTTCATTTGACGTCAAGATTTTATATAAAATAAGAGCACTATACTTCACTTACATAAGTAAAGCTCCTATGCCCTTTTACTTACTACATCTAGCGGAGTCTCAAACGTTATCTCCTTTTTATGCGTGTTTAAGATGGCCGATGTAGCTTCACCAGGGTCTCCTGAAAATATCCTCCAGACATTACTTCTAATAGCGATATTTCTCGGAAGTATTCTTGGAAATTCATGTGTAGTGGCAGTCATTGTTAGAAGCAGTCATTTGCGGGAAAGTCCAGGAACTTTTCTAGTTTTCAGTCTTGCTCTATTGGACGGAATATTCATTCCAATTGGTATGGCTTACAAGTTGAAAATTCTGAACTTCGCGTCGAATTCTTCCATGGCATGTATTTTCTTTTCTACTTATATAACAATGCTAGTTTATGTATCAATCCTACACCTTTCCTTGTTGAGTTTAGATCGGTATATTTCTGTTGTGTGGCCATTGCGCTATGAGGCTATTTTAACCAAAAGAAGAATCACGTKTTTGTTAGTTGTTGCATGGTGTCCTCCAATCCTGTCCTTGATGGTAGTATCATTCATCATTGGAGATGATGAGTTAAAGTTCCGTGCAGGTCTCATAAAGTGCGGTACGGAGTCCAATGCCTCCCACACGTCTCCCAAAATGTCACCATTGCATCAAGTCCACTTATTCGCCAACAGTATTATGATGGGAGTGCTCCCCCTCCTTGCTATAGTAATCTTGAATAGCAAGGTAGCCTTCATCGCTTACCAGCAGGCAAAGCGAATACAGCCACTGGCTCGAATGACAGGTTCAGAGAGGCAAAAGAAGGAAAAGCGGATAAAAGAAATGAAATGGGCCAAAACAATGGGTTAGTTCTTTCAGAATATTCAGTAGAAAATGAATTATCAGCAATGAATGATGAAGAGTTTATAGACTTTCATGATAAATTGCAGATGATCGGACATTTTTGAAAGCAAGGCAGCATTTTTTTCTAGAACTACTGGGCAAGGAGTATCTCATATTATCCTTTAGCCCATGCCCAAATGTCGTTAAACAAAAGGATAAAAGATAAAAGTACTTTTAAGATTACTCTATCCACGCTCTTAGCTCCTCGACAAAAGTATACTTTCTAGCTCGTAGTATATATCTTGACTATATGCTTGTTTTTTTTTTCTCTCAAGGCATAGTGATCGGTGCGTTCGTCGTGACGATTATTCCAGCGTTCGCGTGTGTGGCCATTGAATCAAAGTTTGGTCCAGGAACAGTTCCACCAGTCTTTGTTCGTCTCTTAACAATCTTAACGTTCCTGAACAGTACTTTGAATGTTATTATATATTCAATTCGTTCCCAAGTTTACCGACATGAAATCAAACGATTAACGAGAGATTTGAAAAACAAGATCCTTCAATAGCCATAGCTAGCACTACCGTAGTATAGGGAGTATAGGAGGAGCAGATGGGTTCCTGGGTGAAAAATATCTGTTCTTATTCGTTTCCAGAAGAAGGAAGGGCGACACAATTGCTTGTCAGATTGTCAACAATGTAGCTCAAAATCCCTTTCCCAGGAAAAAATAAGTACAAGAACAGTTATTTAGGAGAACAGAGTCGGGTGCCGGGGAACTCCGTCGTCGGAAATTTTCAATGTTTCAAAAAGATCCCTAAAAGATCCGGGAAGTCTTGAAAAAATGGCGTGGCTGACTGGCTTTTAACTCTAAGAGTTGTACAACAAATATTGTTACTTTAAAAAAACCCAGTTCCAATGATAAAATGTATAAAAAGTGATGATGACAAAACAAAACGTAGAGGAAAATTAATATCGATGCTCTCTTTCTCTTCTTTTCCGACACCCTAAGAGATTACAGAAAATGCAAATTTCCAGAAACTCCAGATTGGCACCCTAAAGATTCCCAATCACGGATTATCCCTAAGAGATCCGAAGAGCATCCCCGGTACTTTTACCCCCCCGAGGGAACAGACCCCACCGTCTCCTCCTGCAGTAGCGTCAAGAAAGTCAATCCACAGTCTTGACTGTATCATGTGAAAAATGGCACAACATATAGTGTCTATTGTGTACAACATAACGGAAATTCTAGGTAGAAAAGCTCGAGGGCTCATCACTTGGGGTATTTTGATCATAAGGTCCATGGTATTCCTCCAGTACCCATATCCCACCAGTACCCTACTGGGGCTAGNCTCTGGAGCCCAGACCACCGCCCTGTCAGATCAAGAAAAGTGACCTTCCCCCACGTCATCGCCAGAGACACTGGAATCGGGGTCCAAGATCTTAGGGCAGTAATGGCTGACAGGGCGGTGTGGAAGTCTGTTGTTGGAGGACTCTCGGCCGAGGCCGAAGGATGATGATGATGATTCCTCCAAAAAAATACTGACTGAAAAAAACACTGCCAAAGAAAAGATCCAAGTGTAGCAGACATCTGAAACATGTCACGTAATAAACGTAAGCTAACTTATGCTTTGTACTTTGGCAAAGTACAAAGAATAAGTCAGCTTACGTTTATTACGTGACATGTTTCAGATGTCTGCTATACTCGTAATCATTTTCAAAAAATCAATAGTATGAGGGTAACTCCAATTTCCACAGGGAGCACAATATACTTTTCCTTTTAGGCTTGTCTAAAGTTTATTTCGATTTTCTCTCCTAAACGGCATAAAGTGTTACAAATTACCCATTTTACATTGTTTTGGCATTAAAAGAGATATTGAACAAGAAATAGCCAAATCACATCCCCAATCCCAAAGTTTTTACCCAATCTCAATGGACAAATCCCAATCGAAATGGTTAAATCTCAACGAAAAAGGCAAATCCCAATTTCAAATTACCCACAGGTAGCCCAAGCTCAGCACTTAGTGAAGATCATATAGAGAAAAAAAAATTCAATAAAAGTTGGAAATCTCAATAAAAGACATCTCCAATGTTGTAATTGTTTAGAGTCTTGATAGGCGGTCAATCACAGTAACATCGAGTTCAGTTGTAAAAACATAAAGACAACAAAACAGTCATTTACACATATCGTGTCTTTAATTTCTCTAAGGAGAATATGGATTTTGGGCTTCTGGTGACCTGAGCCAAAAAATGGATCTCCATTTTCATTCAAAATACATCCAAACCCTCCCATAAATCAAAGAATGCCCATTATACTAGTTGTACCCACTGTTTGTCCTTGAAGAGTACAACAATAAAGGTGTGCAACATAAATACCAGACTAAATACAGTTAATTATTTGATGCAAGGAATTGTAATAAACCAGATTTTATCTTATCCTTCTTAGCATATCTGACAGGAGCACCTCTGGTTGTGGTGGAATCCATAGATTTTGTATGGAATTTATCCACTTGATAGGAATTAATCCATTATATAGTGCAATTGTTCACCCTTCATATAGATGGACCCTGATATCTTGTACTGTAACCTCCTATACAGATGCTCATGGTATGGCATAAAAATAGTCTTTCTCCCACAAGGAATGCCTGTATATTTTGGTATAACGAATACACAAGCTTTGGTAACATTCCATTGCAGTTTGCCTTGAATTTTACTTGTGTCCATGGGACTAACAGAATCATATCATCTGCTTTGTTTGTTTATTGTTTTTACTTTTCTTTCTTTTTTTTTAGAAAAATGGCTACTTTCTTATTTCAAAAGCTGTAAACCCTAGACTGGTAATATTCATCTCATTCTTGAATACACATCTCTCTATACGTGATGAAGGGCTTCCTTTTGTCTTCAACCATTCTTTCCTGGAATTAAGAAGATGATATGGCATTATCCAAAAGATCCACGTGAAATACAATGGGACGCAACAGAAGATGAGGGGTTAACACCTTTCCCTCCCTCTCATCTTTACCCTTCTCCAACCCTATAATAGAGTGGGTCTGTTTCATAAAAAATCAAAGTTCATTTTGTCTAGTGTATAATTATCAATAAAATATAGAAATATCTATAGTAGATATTTTTTCAGCGAGCTTATAGTACTTACATCACATCTATTCCACTGGGTTCACCTTGCATTTGACCAATAACTGTGTTTCTTTTAGTATTTTTAACCCAACCAACAAGATTTAGCTCTTTCGCTTTTAATCTGGTATACTAACAAAACAATSTCAGTATATGTTTGATGTTTAGAATTGCTGATGATTAACATGTTCACTGTTCTTGAAAAAATCACATTATATACCTTAGTATTTCAATGTTAATTAAAGGAGTTGATAATTAAAAATAGTTGATCTGAGGCCATGCAATGATAAATGTTCTCTACAGCTGCACATATGGAAGAATCAAATCAGGTGTGGTTATATACAAACCATGTTCATTCCCAGGAATTCTCTCTTTACTTTTTTTCAAAATGGCAGACAGAGAAAGCTCAGGCATCAGCCGATCATATCATACACAGCTCAGCAATTTTGTTGAGATACATGAGCTGTGATTTGTAAGGTGATTTTAATAATGCATATCCCAATCACCTGTATAAACACCTGCAAATTAACAGCGATTTCCCCAGCAATGGCTTRAAGGTAATATCACAGCACATTCAAACATGCTTGAAATTTTAGCGCAAKTTGCTGTGACTTTCATGTGAATCTTGTGTTCAACATCAATGTGAAGTTAGAGATACCCTGCGAGCAGAGTGTATTTCCTTACCTCAATAAAAATTTGCGAATTTTTATTGAGGTAAGGAAATACACTCTGCTCGCAGGGTAAGTTAGAGACTGTTTACTTTTGTGATAAAATCGCAGTTCATGTTGMGCAACAAAACAGCTAAGAGCGAAATCAAAAAATGTCAACATAAATTTAAAAAATACACACCAAAAAATAATGAATAGCAACATTTTGCTAATATTTTCATAGTGTATCTGTGATGTGAGGAAAGCCAGACATCCAAATGCTCCAGACAGCTCATTAATATTTCTTAATAGGTTGCCATGGGAGCGGCATAAAATGGTTGGTTTATATGTTCTTGATAAATTTGTAGAAGTTGAGAAACTTAAACATATTTTGYATTCATCAACTTCTCTCAGAAAAAAAGGTCATTTCTGACTTCWTTTCTTTTTGTTCTTTTTTTCATTAAAAAAATCCACTTCTGTCACTTCCATTGAGAAATGACAAATCGTCGAATGCTGTGTTGGTTTCCTTACCTTTCGGAAGAAGACACCTGAGAGAGATTAAAACAACTTCATCAAAAATACACCAGTCAAGACAAATATGTAATGGGCGTTCGGTTAACTTACCTTGTACCCGACCAAACACTTCAAAATCCACAGACAACAACCGTTTTGCCGCCATGATGGCGATCGTTTCCTCGGCTGCAGCAAGCAAGACAACAATTATCGGATTGGTAAATGAAGGAAATGGCAGAACAATAAACTCACAGGTAAAACTCAAAAATGGATTACATTTCAGAATGAGCTCAATGATAATGAGCTAGAGTATGAAAAGCTGATCCCAAACAAACGTTACGTTTCTTGCCTCGATTCTGTTACGTTAAACACAGGAAACCCAAGAAGATGGTGCTGCTTCTTTACTCGTGGATAAGGCATCGATCCGGTTTTCATATCATAGGGGGAGTGGTTAAAAGTTAAAGAAAACTCCGTGAGAAACACAAAATGTGGTGTCTAGCAGTCCATTAGTAACAGCCAATAATCTATAATCTGAGACCATATGTCTGGAAAATGCTCAAAATCATTTAGTGAAGGGCCTACACATTGTTTTAGAAAAAAGTCGTCCCGCTTTTGAACCGATTAACACCAAAAAGGTCTTTCTATTTAAGCCAAATTTAGATTCACATTTACAGCTAATGCTGACATTAATCGTAATTGTTTTGCGTTTTTGCATCGCTATTCCTTTCGAAGCGCTTATTTTACTTTTTAACTATTTGTTTGAAATCACGATTTGACGTTATAGAGTTCGCCCGACCTCCCAAGCCAGTGTAGCCTGCGTGCAGGGGCGTTCCTAGTTTGGGGGCGGATAGGATCGCCTGCACGCAGACAAATACAATTGCAAGCATCAAATTTTTTTGCTTTATGAGAAAGCAGAGAGTTTGAGTTGTTTCAGTCTGCTGATCTTTCAGCTTGCGTTATTTTGTTTGTCTAAGACCATGTTCATATATTTTTCGGTTTCCCGTCGTCCGACCGACTCATTTTTTTGAAAAAAAGAACAGAAATAACTATCAAGTAAAACTAGAAAATTGGTTTCAAAATGATAAAATAAGTACGCCCATGTTATGATGCCGTTCATAATTTGTTCATGATTTGTTACATCAAGTTGTATCCCTTTGAGTAAACTTTAGACAGTAATACATAGCAATGTTCTTTATCCCATGTTTTCAAAGCGGTTTTTGGCGATTTTAAATTCTATACTAGACACATCCATTTTATTTCATTTTTTCATATTATTATTTTTCCGACCGCCTGACCTATCCATGGGAGATAAGCGACCGGAAACAAAAAAATATGAGGATGGCATTGGTGGTCGGGTGTGGGGGATTGCGTCATCTAACTGACAACGAGATGCTATGGGACACATAACAATATTTTTTATTATTTCTATATCATAGTATTAAGAACAAGACATATAATTGAAAACCGATATTTACATTCTTTTATCACACTTCGTACTCGTCACTGGTTGTTGTCCAGCGACACGAACTAATTATAAACCTTTAAAAACTACTAACCAGTTTGTTACATGACTACAACGAGTCTTGGATTAAAATTAATTATACTTCTCAAATCATCTGATAATAAATAATTTCCTCATCATCGGTGGCAAGAATTTAAATTTATAAAATCATGAAGGCTATTATTAGGTATTCTAATGTTTTCTGCTGTTTTTCTTTCACGACCAGTTTGTTGCTTGCTGTAGAAAGACAAGAAAACTAGGTGAGAAACTCCCTTAAACTAATAATCTTCACATACAGTAAAAATAGCGAGTAGACGCACTAAACTAGTTACTATTTAAAAATAGTAGAATCAAACAATGAAAAACAAAATATTAAAGTGCGTCTACTCTAACATTGACTTTTGTTATTAAAACTAATATCAAAACGCAAAAATAATGAAGATTTCTTTTCCCTTTCTAGCATCTTCAGGTAGAATGGTTCCTAGGCACCAGAGCTTCGCATCTCGAATATATATTTTTGCACAAAAAGAAACATAGATCGAAGCGTCTCGAACCAGGGCAGAATGGCATTCTTAGGCCGGGATCAAACGCAGACCTTAATTCATCAAGCTTAATCATTTAAAAGATTCTGAAAGTCTCTAGCAGTTATAGTGCTATGAAGTTTGATTAAGGCTGCGTTCGTTTTAAAGAGCATGAATCCCACTCAAGATATCTGTTTCTATATTTTTGAGCCCTAAAAATGGGTGTGGATAGTCACCCTAATAACCTCCTCTAGATCTGCCCTTGACTAGAAATTTAAAAGAACTGGAAAGTTATCAAAGCTGTAATTTAGTGCAAAAGTACGACAAGTAAACTTGAATTTGGTAAGGCAAAAAATCAAGTTCGGAGTTTGACCCAGTTCTTAATATCCTGACATCTACTGCACCTKTTACGTCGAAGCAGACAAACCCTGGCCTTTACTTTGCACATGATTGGTTAATGGACTTCCCATGTGCTTTTGAGGTGGAGTGTACTGCTCTGTACCCTTGGAACCATCCTGTAAAAAAACGCAAAACAAACAATGAAAAAAACAACAACTTTATAAACCACAACTGTTAAAATTTCACAGTAAACTGTTTATTTACAAACTGAGGTCTGTAATTCTTTACAGGGATTCTTATTATACCCTCCAACCTCTCCGTCGTACCTTATCTAGCCGTGTTTGTACAAAAACGATTCATGTTAACGCATTTTAGCTTGCAATATAATTAAAGTTCTAGAAATCTCTTAATATCGGAAAATGTTTGACAACTACACTATTGTATTCCCCGTCCTCAGGAATTCGTTTCTTAATATATAAACATAAAATACAAATAATTAGTGGATTAGTGCAAGAAAAGAGCATTATTTGTTAGAAGTCAAATTAAAGGAGTACAAGTACCTGTTTAGCAGGACTTGAAGGGGTGCCGTAAGAAGAAACTTGTTCAAGATTCTGAACCATCTGACGAGATTCGGCCAGTAATCGATGTAGTTTGCTAGTAGGGGAAGACTCGTTATCCTGCCAGATATAACAATCAGTTATACGTTTTACCACGAAAAGCACACTCAACATTAGGATTTTGTGAGATGTCAGTCAAGTAAAGAGCCAATCATGTAAGTTGTTTGCTTGAAATCTGTCAGTCATGTCAACAGCCAAAATCGTGTTAAACGTTAACAGCGAATCCTTTAAAGCGTTTGTGTGAGCTGTCAGTCAAGTATAAGAACTAATTATGTTAGGTGTTTGGCATGTCAATCGGGTAAACAGTCAATCATCTAAGGCGTTTATGTCAGCCGTGTCTGTAACACAGAGTCAATCATGTAACAAACCATCGCGAATTGAGTTGGCAGGAATCATACAAGAATCTACAGGATTTTACATGATAGACTGCTAAGAAAAATTTAAAATGCAAGTGGAAGTTTTCATTGTATGTCTGCGATACAAGGGCAATTTGGAGAAAAATTACATCAAACAAGAAATGGCAATTAGTGAGAAATGTCAATTTGCAAGAAAAGGTTTAAAATAATATGAAATATTAAAACTACGATAAGACGTTAAGAGATTATGGAGGATGTGTAATAGATAAAGTAAATCTAAAACGAGATAATGCAAAAAGTTCTATCAAATTCAATGAAAAAGTAGAAAACAGTGAGTGTGGTAATATAAATAATTCATTGGTGTGGAATCTTGCACAGATTAGACCATACAATGTTCTGATTTGTAATTTTGTGGCAACTTGCACACACGAACCACGTGACTATTGTTTTTGTATAAGGTCACATGAGTTTACCTCCTCTAATTTAATACAGTAAACATTATACAAAAACTCCAGGCCAAGCTCTTTGGAGGTCATACCCACCTGATGATTAGTTTGTGGTGTAGATGTATTTAGAGTAAACCCATTAGGTCTTGATGCTGCTGGAGTGGATGTCAAAGTAGGACCAGAACTGTATGGAGCATAACTTCCATCAACTGATTGAACATCAGTCTTAGGGTCAGCCAATGATAGGCTACCTATGCCTTGGTATACATCAGGCTTTGCTTGTCCACTGTAGTAGGTCTGATGACTTGTTTCATAACTTTGAGGCAAAGTTGTCCCATAACTCTGAGATACAGCTGTACTGTAGCTTTGAGGAACAGTGCTCCCATAGCTTTGAGGTGCAGTCAACCCATAGCTTTGTGGCAATGTTGTACTGTAGTTTTGTGAAGCAGTGGTGCCGTAAGTTGGAGGAGCAGAACCTCCATAGCTTTGATGTGCAGTTACATTAGTATATGGCCTACTGGAGAGTGCTGTCGGCAATGGTTCATGGTTAAGGCTCTCTAAGTCATCACCAAAGTCGCTTCCTGCTGTAGCATAGTTGGAGACAGGCTGAGACAAACTTTTGACGGCTGAAAATATAAAGTATTGTTTCCTTCAGGGAATGACGAACGAAAGTCAGGTTTTTGATTCCAAACAATAAAAAAAGATGCAAAAGATGCAAAGATATGTTTGATGCTTCACTTTCTGGAGAGAGAGACTGACATTAATAGTGGTGGGTGCAGTACATAACAGAAATAAAATGCAGTCGGTGATATAAACACACAGACAAGCAGTGCAAAAGTGCTGGTGCTGGGTGTCACCTGGGAGGTATGGGGACAAGTCATCTAAATCTCCATTCTCTAAACTGCTACTCTTGTAAGGTAAAGGAAAGGTGTCTGGTAAAATAGTGACAAACTATAAACATTTGTTCTTGAAAAAGCAATGACAGAGCTCAATTATTAACTAATTATTAGTACATCAAACTTACCATCAATTTCTGAAGATTTTGTAGACATGGCATCCTAAAGGCAAAAACAAGTCTGAATGAAGCCTATTTTAGAAGATGATTTGGTGGCTGTGTGATAATGTAGTTTGTGTTTATACATGCAATGCTATCCTATCAATAAATGAGACTTCAAACATTACAAGATGCTAGGAAGATTTCAGATGTCCAGAGTACACTCTCTTGAACATAGTGATAATACCTGGTTGTCAAAGTCTGTGTTTAAATTGTAATCTATCTTTTCTTCATAGTAATCACTAATCTTGTCATCTGATGTAAAATCATCTGGTTTAAACATTGCTTCCTGATTAGTTTGAAGCTGCATTTGTAGGTAAGAGATATCCCGCTGCTGACGCTCACATATCTGTACAAGAAAGCATTCAGACATGTACATGTTAAAATACTGTAAGATGCTAATGAAAACCAGATCATATTGCAAAATGTTCAAAATAAGAAATAAAACAGTGAAAAATGGATGTTGTCCAATATTTGAAGTTCGCTAGAGAGCTACAGATAGGTGTTCATAAAATGAATGGAAAATACAACTAGAACAAATGTGTGGTCAAACACAATGTCTGATGAAGCTCAAGTTTCACAGGTCAAAGTACATTTATTTTTACACTAGCATAACAAAAGGCTACATTTACACAAAGATTTTGGCCAATCTACATGTATATCTGATATAGATACTTCGACAAGAAAAATTCTGATACAGAAAGCACATTTCTAAGCAACAGATTAGGAAATGTGCTTGTAAAATTATGCACTGGTTGCTTTATGTGAAATTTACAATATTTCATTTTGTTACCTGTCTAAGATTTTGTAATTCTGCATCTGCTCTATCTTGCTTTGATTTTTGAAGATCTAAAAGCTGGTCTTTTCTTTTTTCTCTTTCACCTGGACAGGATGAATAGAATTATGGATTTGATATTAAACCAAGGTAAATATCACCACACAATAGTGTTGTAATTACCAGCTAAAAAGAGTTCTTTCTGCAATACTAACACCTCCTGTTTGACCTTAAAAAAATGAAACCAAGAAAAAATGATTACATTACATATACACTGCGTACAGGTCCTATTCTGACAAACTTACTTGAGCACACTCTGCTTGAATTTCATCTGCATCACTGAATTGCTTTGTAATATCACCTTTTAGAAGAAAGCAATATAAGCATCAATCGAGACTATGGTAATTTGATACTGTATATATAGCATGTTGTTCACCTCTAAGCTTTTCTATTTCATTCTTATTAGCTAATGCTTGGTCCTTCCATTGATCTCTCTCAGTTTTCAGAGTTTGGTCAGCCTTCTTCAGATCCTGAAAAGTATTATCCGAAAAAAAAAAAAAAGGTTTTGTGTGCTAAGTACGTATGATAAGTGCAAAACCAGGTATGGCTAGGAAAGAAACTCAAAAACAACAAGAAAAAGAAATATGAGAATGTACAGATAACAACAACTAATACTAAAATGAAAATATAATAATAAAGTAAAGCAACACGAAATTATCAAAATGTTTTAAAACAATCATCAATACCTGACAGTAGTTTTCAAGTCTTCTCAACTTTTGCTGCATTTCAGATAGTCTGATGCTTGCCTCTGAGATATCATTGTCCTTGATAGAAATCAAAACTCACTCTTACTATTTTAAATCCAAAACCACATAACATTGGCACACTGACTGAATATCTTTCACAACATTGTAACTCACTTTCAGTTTAAGTCTAGTTGATAGTTCTTGTTCTCTGGCTTGTAGTTGACCAATAGTGCTTGATAACTCTCTCATTGTGTTAGTTAAACTGATGTTCTTCTCCTATTATAACAAAATGTGGACTACAGATCTTGAAATATAAGGGGTTTACCTAACATTAACTAACATATACAAACTAAACTAATAGCTGTTTGTTTTTAACTGGAAGAGGAGAATCAGCAAAATTGGAGGAAATCAACCAGAGTGAAGGAAAAGAACATGGCCCTTGCTTTCCTGATTCAGGCAATAATACCATTCAATATTTGAGGGTATTTTTGGTAATGGGTATAATCTTTGCTTTATTGAGTTTTTACCTCCAAGTCCTGTAATTGGTGTATTGATGTATTAGCTTGTTCAGATACTTGCTGTAGTTGAACCTAAAAGCAGAAGACACCACACTTGGTTTATAACAGCCATTTGACTTAGAGATTTTCTGAATCGCTTTTGATATTCCTCTCTCAAAAACAAACAAATTCAAAACATAAAATAACATCATATGGTGGTTATTTCTGCAGCAAACATTTTGAATATTTGAGGTTATTTCAGTATTTAATTCTAATTTGTATTTCAGTACATAGAACTTCATCAAATCACCTGTGTATCTTCAAGTTCTCTATTTTTACTTTTCTCTTCTGCTTCTGCTGCTTTTAATCTAGTAAAAATAAATAAAAAAATGAAAAATTGAGGAGATATAAATGAGTTCATGTTTAAGAATACCTTGCTTGACTTGCTTTTATTTGCTCAGTTTTATTCTTGACTTCACCTAAATAATAATTGTCACATTAATCTTCAATAATCTAATCATTAAATATGATTTCTCTTCTCAGTAATCTGCCTCACAAATGATAACATTAAAAATTATTAGTTGTACATAGCTATTTCAAAAAAGTCATCACAGTGAAGAGCCAACCCATGACTGAAAATAACAGCAGGAATGGATTATTGATGATAATATTTATTCGTGAGAGTAAAGTTTCCATCAAATAAAGATTCTCTATGGTGACCTGTTTGGTCTGTAAGTGTTTTATTTCAGTAGATAAGTGATTTTTTCCTTCAAAAAGTGAATACCCAAATTAACATTTGGTTGTGCAATCGCTGTTGCATTCTGACAACTTTTTTTGAAATAGCTATATTTTACATTTGTAGTTCCATGTCCTGCTTACTTTCTAATCTGGAACATCTCTTTTCTAGAGTTAACACCTGAATTAAATAATAAAAAAAAAGAAAAATGTAACTTTAACTCACTCCCACTAACTATCTCATACGTTCAAAATGTGTTAAGCATGATAACCCATTTACTCAATTTGAAGAACCTCATGCATTGGAATGTAGTTTGCACTTACTCGTTGTCTATCTTCTTCCCAGGCAACAATTTGTTTTTGGTGTGCTTGTACCATGTCTGTCAACTCTCTAAACAAATTAATCATTAAAAACAATAAAAACTCACTTGATGAACTGTCCACATTGTCACTGCTTGTCTACTGTAAGTTTATTTTCAAGAATAAGCAGTACAAGATTGGTGACAGAGGAAATGAAATATAATCTGCTAAATTTAAGAGCAGCAGCGAGTGATTTCCAAACTGAAGCTATATTTGATGCAGACAATGATATCAAAACAAGATTTTTGTAAAGTGTACAAGTCTGACATGTTGACTAAGTTCTTAATTAGATTGTATTTACATATTGGTGTGTATGTACCTGTCTCTATCCTTTAGTTCTCCAATAAGAAGCTGAAGTTCTCTCCTTTGTCTTTGAATGGTATCAGTATCAACATCAGAAAGCTACAAAAAATTGAATGAATAAAAAATCTCCCTTGAGGTAAAGAACATCTGTGCCAAAACCAGCATTTTGTGACAGTATGTAGAAAATTGTTGTCAAGGGAGCTGCTCATGGCTCAGGAAAATCAAGTGGTTCAAGGCGTTCAGTACGGATCTGTAAAAAGTGCTAATGAAAAGTAGAACTGTCCTTTGCTGGATAAAAGGTCAAGCATAGTAAATCAAAACCCTTTTTTCTGGTCAAACCAGTTACATGTATAATTATACAAGTTCCATCCGACTACAGTTGAGGATGGTGGCACATCAAACAAAGTAGGTTGAGTTGGCAGAGTCTCTCGTTTACTTGTTAGGAACTACAACAGGAGGGACTCTGCTAACAGTGAAGAAATAGTTTGACTGATATTTGCCAATGAATAAGTCCAAAACAAAATTCTCCAACTTTGATTTTGAACCAATCAGAGCAATACACAACAAACAATTGCAAAAGTTCTTGTATGGACATGGGCCTTTAACTTGTCAAGTCTACAAAACAGTTGATTACTTAAAATAAACAAATTTATAGTACCTGTTTGCTTGGTGAAAGTGACCTTGATGGACTTGTTCCTCGTCTTGGACTTATAGACCTTCTGTTACCACCCAAGGGGCTGGTAGTTCTACCTGGTGATTTGCTACGAGGTGTTCTGGCTGATACCATTGATGTTGGTGGATTATAAAGGCTATTGGTTGTTCTAGGTTTGGTATAGTAGGAAGCCATAGTTGTAGACACAGGAGTGGCCACCTATAATCAATAAGATATCAAGATATGTGCTGGACATTTAAAAGCAGAAATAAATTCAAAGTATATTAAGTAATGGCCCGAGTAAAAACTAGGGAAGCAAACAGCAAAGGAATGCAAGAAGGTGCTAATTGTGTATTGTATAATCCATCCATCCCATTGGT